GACCCAAATGGGGGCCCCGAGGTGTGGCCCCAAGGTGTGACCCCGGGGCTCAGGGCATTGGGATGGGTCTTGTAGACACCCCAAGCCCCGGGGCATTGACTTTTCTTGCTTGGTGATGGATTTCACATGTTTTCTTTGGGGGATTTTATGTTTTTTTGGTGGTCAGAGGCATTGAAAGTTGCTCTTCAGGTCGATGAGTTTGCCTAAATGGTCTTCTGGAGGGGAAAAAGGAAAAAAAAAACGGAGGAAAGGATGATATCGCACTGAGCAAGCTCTCAGAAAAAAAAAGTCATGCCCCAGGGCTTTGGTGTGCACCGGGGAATTTTCAGGTTCTGGGGTTCGGGATGAGCCTCATGCCCCGTCCCAAACCCCGGGTTACACCCTTAGTCTGGAGGCTGATTATTCCGCTCTCAGAAAAAAAAAGTCATGCCCAGGGGATTCGGTGTGCACCGGGGAATTTTCAGGGTCTGGGGTTTGGGATGAGCCTCATGCCCCGTCCCGAACCCCGGGTTACACCCTTAGGATTGGGGGAATGAATTTTGAATTTATGATGATAGTGGAGGACTCCCTGTTTCAATTTAGAGTATTTTCAGACCCCTCTCAGTTATAAATTAAGACTGTAATTAAAACCACCACCAGCTCACATGAGCACCATTGAAACATGGGTTCTGAAACAATCCTTTCTGCCAGCAATTAAGGCCTTGGAGGTTCAAATAAAATTCAGTGATTGTTGTAAATGCCAATGGGTGATCATCCAGTGATATTTCAGGAATACAGATAAATCAAGACCCCACAAACAAACTAAGAATGACTTGAGCAAGCAAGATGAATTGCAATTTTCTGGCATCATTGGATAGATTGGCAGTTTTTGGTCTCCTTTACAAACATTAAATTCAATCATTTAGTGGATAAATTCAGAGCTGCAAAAAGCTAATATTCCAACTCCCATTGTTCTACATCCGTGAATCTTTCTGGCCCTGGCGTACGGTACCGACTACCCGCTACTATCAGAGAAGAACGTCGCCTTAATGCTCAAGGCGTCCGCTAAAGCAGATGCGCTGGCGGTCAGGGCAAAGACTAAACACCCAGTTCTGGTCGAACATCTACTATTACTTCACGGTCACCTGTCAAAAGGAGAAGACCTCGGGAGAGTGCTACTCGACATGTCACTCATCACATTTTGGAGCATGGCTCGGCTCGGAGAACTTACGAGCGACATCGGCGTAGGACGTTTAGAAAAAGGTGAAGGCATACGGATCTCGGATGTTTGAGTTGCCAAGGACGCTCAATCAGCCATGATCAAGATTTACTTTGCAAAGACAGCCACCGGAGGAGAAGTGCAACGTCTACTACTCACCGCAACAAACAACATCCTCTGCCCTGTAAGAGCACTTATCAGGCGAGTGTCATCTGGCGAGGCGGAAGACTCACTGTTTGGGGTAAATACCCTGACAGTCAGGAAAAACCTAACAAAGAGTTATTGCACCAGACGCCTTCAATCAGCATGGAGAGGAATTGGCCTGACCAACCTCTCAGGCCACTCCTTCAGGGTGGGCGGTGCATCCTTACGCAACGCGTTAGAGGTGGAAATAGCGACCATCTGCAAGCTAGGCAGGTGGACATCCTCTTGTTATAAGCTCTACATAAAACCGTACTCGGCCGAAGATTTGCGAGTAACGCTTTGTATTTTAGAACAGTTAGATGATAGCCCTACTCGTCTCGGGCATTGAGAAATCCAGCTTCGAAGTTGGGGGTTTTGCGTAGGCTCAGGCTTCTCCCTGAGTTTCAGGTGTAGCGCGAACCTCCCCCCCTCTCTCTGCTGTCACGGCAGCAATGCGCTTTTCTCTCTGCTACAGGAGCAGAGTCTCGACCCGTAAGGATACCTTCCGGTGGATCATTTTCTATGTGAGAAAATTCCCGGAAGGGGAACTCCCTTTCTGTGACTCGAGGCTCTCCCCGAGACCCAAACACCGCAGGCATGAAAACCCATCAGACAGACGGGGACCAAGTAAGCTCACAGAGAAGGCCTTGGTAGCCAAGGACTAACCGCTCCGGAAATGTGTGCAGAAGATAAAAGGAACAGAGACGGCTTGGATGGGAGGTGATAGGACCGGTAGGGGATGTCACCAATGTCCAAGCACGCGAGTGCCTGGACTGGATAGCGGGCGTAGAGATCATGCTCGCTCAGACTGCAAAAAATCAGATCTCCTCATACCTGTCGTCTCAAGACTCCGCCGCTATCCATCCTTTCCCCCCCCCAAGCTCCACATCCGGCTCCCACTTATCGCCCGGCACTCATCTCTTGCTTGGGAGTTTCTCAAACGCGCTATCAGGACCCGTGTCGAGGAACGACAATTTTTTGGTCCTCCCACCCACCCGTTTGAGAGAGTATGGTGTAGCGCGAACCTACCTCCCTCTCTCTGCTGTCACGGCAGCGATGCGCTTTTCTCTCTGCTACAGGAGCAGAGTCTCGACCCGTAAGGATACCTTCCGGTGGATCATTTTCTATGTGAGAAAATTCCCGGAAGGGGAACTCCCTTTCTGTGACTCGAGGCTCTCCCCAAGACCCAAACACCGCAGGCATGAAAACCCGTCAGACACACGGGGACCATGTAAGCTCACGGAGAAGTCCTTGGTAGCCAAGGACTAACCGCTCCGGAAATGTGTGCAGAAGATAAAAGGAACGGAGACGGCTTGGACAATGACGATGCTGGAAGCTTGTGGGGCTCGAGTTGAACTACAGATTGATGTTGTGGCAGACAAAGAATGAATGTATGGAAATGCGGAATGAATGGGATGGATGAAAATACTTTTCAAAGGTAGCTGCATTTATGTTCAAAATTCAGCAAGTTTTGTGAAGAGACGACTGAGGCCCGGAACGAATCTGGCAACAAGTGACGAGAAAATGGATAATGATAGCAAAAGTTCTGCGAATACATTGTGCAAATCTTTGTATCCATTACCGAAATGGAAGAGGTGATGTTCCATGGCCATTTTCCGGGTTGCTGGATCTCGCCTTGCAATGATCATCACCCAGTACCAGAACAGTTTGGTGATTGAGGTTGTAGACTTACCCACGACGGCAGTAACGAGCAAAGGATTCTCGAGGAAATAATGTGTCTCACTGTCAAAATTCTTTGGTTAGACATTGCGCACTATGAAAATGCAAGTTTGAGACAAAGAAGATGAAGGGATTTCTTGAACTTGTACAATTAAATGTTAATATGTTCCTATACACCATTAACAATTCAATGATTGTATGTGAATGAGAAATAAGCAGTGTGAAAATTTGGAAGAAGCTCTCAGAACCCTTTGAGGACTCACAAGATTACCCAATCTTATGATGTTTAGAATTAATTTTTGTTGGTTCCTGGGATGGAAAATCTGGAAAATTTTTACTGATACCTAACCCTAACCTCTCCTGTGGAGCAGAGAATAAAGGGCCCCAAGTGATGCCTCAAAGAGAAGATCTACGCTAGACCACCTCACAAACATATGGAGAATCATTCACTTCCCTTTGATATAGGTGGGTGATTGATCAGAAAGAAAGATGTGAGAGTTTGTAGTGAAGGGGATGAAAAGAAATGAGACCATCTCAAGTGGTTTTGAAAGATGTGGTGTGGCGGAGCAGTCTGGAGAATGGAACCATCATATCTCATTCCCTGCGGACAAATTGTGTTCTTGACAAACTGCTCCACTCATATCCATTCCGGCTTCAACATAACTGTGTGCTTGAACCTCGGCGAGGCGACATCATTTGTACACCGGTCACCCCGAACTATCTTAATCAGAAAGCTGTAAGTTCCTCTAATCCCTTGCAAAAAAATTTTGTGGAGATGCAAAGCTTTTGAAACCTATCCACTTATTTGAGGTTCTTTTTCGCTGTTATGTAGAAAGAGGCAAACAATCTGAGGAATCTCGTGCCCATATATTCCATAAATTGTATAAAACAAATGGATTCCGGGCCTAAGAAGGAAATTGAGAAGATGAATCAACAGTGTACGCAATAATCCTACAGAGAATAAATCAATTTGACGACGATAGTCTCATTGCAGCAATTCTGGTGAGTGGACGTAGCACAAACAGTTCAACAAGAAGTTGAGTCAGGGATATGTATTTCCGGCAATGATGAATAGATGAGTCTCTTGGGTCTTTTATTTGTGTTCAGTGACTTGAGTAAATGAGAGCTTGAATACAATATTCAGCGATCTCTTTGTAGCATCCCACCCGGCTGTCTTTTTATGAAGCATTAGAAGTATCAATCAAGGCATGGGTTGCCGGTTGCGTGCAAGTAACAATATGAATGAGTGTGATAGATCATTCTCAAGGTTTGATTTTCCAACAGTACAATTGAAGCTCAGCCTTTTGATCCTCAGCCGATTGATCATACTCTAGGCAACTTTAAGATAAACGTTTGCCAAGCAAATTGAAATGTACGGTTGGAACGCGGCCATCACAAAAATAAAGCCATTGAGGACCGGTTGTGTCGTTCTCTGAGCAAATTCCCTTGTCCCATCTTTGTCGTGCTCTTATTTTGGATTGCCTTTGTCCAAGTTATTTGGCGCTGTTGAAAAATTTCCTTCGTACAGTACCCAACGGCGAGGATTAGCATCGTATCTACACAAAGGACTTGAACTCTACCGTTCCATTGTTGATGGCTACTGAGCCTTCCCCTTTAAAGTTTACAGTAGCAATCCAGTGCTACATTTCGTGCTGCTAGGGGAAGCTCAGTAGTCCAGTTGTCAAAATATAAACTGGTCCTACTTCCTGTGTAGTCCCCCACTTTGCCCACCTTCCCCATCCTCACCACAAATTTCTCATCCTCCCTTTCAGAACCCCAAACCTAACTGGTAAGCTGGCAAGACTCCTTCTTTCATGGCAATTCCTTTCCTTCTCACCACCACCAACCCTTTCCATTGAATCATAACTATTTTGCTCACCGTCCTCTCTCATCTTATTTGGACAGTAGAAAATTCACTAAGCTTTCCGAAACCGCCGCAATGAGTCGTATAACCCTACTCGGTAAGTGAAGCAAATTTATTCTGACTGGTTTATCAGCCCAATACCGAAGGTTAATTCCGAAGTGGAACTCTTGTAGATATGTTCATGGCGGTGACGAACGCCCGAAGGGAGGCCCAAGCAGTTGATTCCCGACAGGAGCAAGCTTCTGGCTCCGCGGCGAATGACGATGCTCAAACACCACGAGCTGGTCCTTCTCGAGCCAAAGCGCCAATTTCCACCCTTGAACAGTGGAATTACTCCTCTTCTTCAGAGGACAGAAAGCCACGAAAGAAGAAGATTCATTTCTTGTCCCATGAAGCGAAACAATCCACTACCAGCGACTTGTGGGCTAGAGCTTTTTCACGTCCAACTGCTCACCCCGGAGGAGCCCGCCACCCAAGGGTCTATACTTTGATTGGCCAACGCCACCAGACGGTACCTTTGGTACAACGACGTACCCCTTCCAGCCCGGCTGATCCTTCTCCAGAGGAAGTAGACCAGACCGACGCTCGGCCACCCCAGTGCCCTCCCCCATCAACTCCGGGTAGCCAAGTTGGACCGGCACGACAAAAAAGGCGAACTAGCCGAACAGCTCCTTACGCCGACAACCGACGCGGCGGAGCCGGAAGATCGGCAGCAGGGGAAAATTAAATTAAAGTAAGTTTCCTCTGCACTAAACCGACCATCTCTGTAGACTTGAGCAAGAGAACTGATGGAGAATTTCCACAGATCGATCCTGTTTTTTTTTTTTCTGTTCTCCGCTTAGTTTCTCCTTCCTATGCTTGTTATGTCAAAGCCATGTACTCCTCTATGCCGAAATTGCCCGCTGAAATTTACGCACTTTTTCTCTCTTTTTTCTTGTGCCTGAGTGAGCCTTCCCAAACTTATCAAGCGAGAAGAGGCGGGTCGACTTGGCTGCTGCCTCAAGGTGCTTGACCGTCCTTCACGATACATTCATACCATTTGACCTTCCCCAAGCGTTATCAGTGTGCTACTACCAATGCATTGCAAAATATGCATTGCTTCCTTGCAAATTATTGCAAGCGATGAAACTGATGAAGTCAGTCTACAGCGTGAGTGCTGGATTCTTTTTCGACCTTAGGTCGCCCCTGGAGCGAAGACAGGCATCTGAGTTATTTGGACATTAACCAAGTATAGACAAAGCTTGCCCAAAGTAAACGCCAGTCTAGCTGGCCAAGCTTTTCAATGACTCGAAGGGGAATGTCGGATGCAAAATTGGAGGTTGGTCGGAGTCGCAGTCGTAAAGAAAGGAACATCCTGATACAGAGCGCTTGTATGCACTCGAACCATCTAAACCCCGCTCGCGTGGTGCCCCAGTCACGCGCGGGGAGTTCTCGGTAAGTTTGTCCCGATTTTAACTCAGCTCCCTCTTGACTTCGCACGACACCCTCAGTCTGCCACAAGGCCGGAACTAACAAGTGTTATCGTGAATTCTACCGGCATAAATGAATGGTATGACCCAGCATAACTGAAATGTTTCTTCGGGATTTTATCGAAAGCTAACTTGCCACAAGCAACAAAAGGCCCCAATGCGCCAAGCGCCTCTGGCGCAAAACACTCTGCGCAGCCCGCCAAGGAGACTTTTGAACAAATTTCATACCTTCAAAAATCTCGCATGATGCACTGGATCCTGATTACTTGGTAGGACTTCGTGGCACCTGCAGACGAAGCTTCATAGATCTACAACTCCACAGGAGGCAACGCTAGTGTTCAAACACTTTGATGTGCCACTGCTTACAAGTGCAACATACCCGAAATCCAAATTATCCACCCTCGATCGATTATGTAGTTTGTAATTATTTCTTGATTTTTCATCTCACGCAAAGTGTAGCAAGGTTCGACAGGCAAAAAAAATTGATTTGTCAAAAGCTAAATGAATTTATAAGAAAAGCGACAAGGTTTCCAAAAGAGGGAGGTAGGGAAAACAAAATAAAACAAGGAAAATCAAGGATTCAATTGACAGAATGGATTGCGAGTTTTCTATCTTCCCCACCGGAGCCCAACAAATTACCATCAGAATTCCAACCAACAGCCAAGATTTTTTGGTTAGATAATTTTTGATTTGGATTGGAAGTGGATTGTTTTGCAGATTGAGTGGGGTTAGAAATGGTGTAAAGAGATTGTTTGGTCGAACGTGTGTCCCATATTTTACAAGTACCATCGTATGATCCTGATAGAATTTGGAGTGAATTCGCTCGTGATGGGTTAGAGGAAACCGTCGATACTGGTGCTGCGTGTCCATGCAATATCAACGAAATGTTTTGAGTGGCTACAATTCAAAGCAGACATACCAGGACAACAGGAAACATCAAAAAAGAAGGTCAGCCAGGTGAGCACTTCCATGCTAATGCGCACGCTGTCTACTCAGTAGTCAATTTGGACTTTACCATCTCGACAATCCCAAAAGCAAATCGTCCTGTCCATACAGCCGGTAACAAGTAGACCCTCCCGGCCTCGACATTCATCAATATCCAATAAACACTTCTCCGGCCCGGCCAATTTGGACCATTCTTCCAATCCAGTTTCTAGGTCGAATCGTTTGACGGTATGATCGTGTGAAGCAGTAAAGACCTTGTGGGAATCAGATTTGGAGAATATTGCCCGAGAGATCTTGGACTGATGGGCGTTGATGATTTGGACGGGTTCCTTGGATATCACGGATAATTCAGATGACTTGAGATTTTGGTTTTTTCTTCGTCGTTTCAAGTTGCGAGGGTCTTCGTTTGCATATTCAGCGTTCTCAGGCTCAGTTTGGCGGTCCCCAGTGGAAGAGGAGAGATCCCAGAGTGCCAGGATGCCTTCCCAGTCACCTGTGAGTAACTGCCCAGAGGACTGGTCATTCTCGCACGATTGGACTGTACTGACGGGCGACTTGTGAAGTGGTAAAACGTGGGTGTTTTTGTACGAATAATTTTGCTCGAGCTGCATGATATTTGAGTCCGGCGAGGAAATTTCCCATATTTTGACGACCCGATCTAGTCCTCCACTGGCGATTCGACTTGTGCCTGAAGAGTCTTCGCCAGCATGGCTGATCCAACTGACTGATAAAACTGGTTGTTCATGACCTGATATCGTTAGCACCGGCTTTGTAGAGTCGGAGGCCGAGAACAATCGCAGATTTGAGTCGTACGAAGCAGTTAAGAATGTCCTGTTCGCACCGGGCAAAAAATAAAATAAAAATGTGATCAGCCGCTTTGAAATTAAGTTCAACTCAAGTTCGAATTCTCGACTGACCCTTGCTTAGAGATAGATAAATCTGAAATCCAATCATCATGTTCCAAACTTTGAATAAATTTGGGTGGTAAGACACTTTCAAGATATTCGATTTCAAGGACTGATTCAGTTGATAGGCCGTGTGAGTCTATAAAGTTTTTCACAGATGTCCTCAAAAGTTGATCGTTGACCACGAAATCAAACGGTACGGGTTGGGCTGTACGAAAAAAGTCAATGCAACGAATCAGAGGTTTCGTTTTATCAGAAGCAGCATAGAGAGAAATGTATCCTGACTGACCAAGCTGAAGTACTTTGTTAATCAGTTGACTGAGTTGGAATCTTTTCCAATCAGAGGGAACCAAGTACTTGGCATTAGGGATTGAGTATCGGATCGACTTGGTTGTCAATCTAACGGTGATCATCGTTGGCTGCTGATGCTGAGCATGATTGGATGTCGTGCTTTCTGACTGGATAGTGATTGATGCCATTGTGGATGTCTCTTGTCGGTTCGAGGTGTTCCCCTGCCAGGTGCTCTCTTGCTGGGTGATGGTTGACTGTCCTCGCTTGGCCCCTGTCCGATTGTGAAGCCCCCTACCAAAAGTTGAGAATGACTTTCATGAATATGCAGTGTGGCATGCGTGACCCCCTCACAGCGGCACCGCAGCCGCAGCGGATTCCAGCTGCTGTGACTCCGGCCTTGTCGCATTGCGCCGACAGACCCTTGTGGGCTGCCCTTCGGGCTCTCGCAATCGAGGCGTGCGTTACACTCGGGCTTTGTCTGCCATCCAGGGTCCCTCTCAAAGAGAGAAATTGCTCACATGGCGCTTTGACTTTTCTGATGTTAAGAATGTTCAAAATCCAAGGGAAATTGCAGTATGTACATGTTCCAGAAGATTTCCCTAACAATTGTGAGCATTACAAACATTTTCTCAGAATGGGAGATATGATTCGCAGGAGATTTCTGACTGAAGAAAACCAATTGGCAAGCTGTAAGGTGCAATCCACATTGACTGCACTAATAATTTTGAGGCAAACAAAGTCCTGCAACAGTGCTGGCTGGGGCCAACGCTGCAACAGATACAAGACAAGTATCAGTATTTGGGGGTATTCAGCTTTGATACACCCCAATGTCTTGGATTGGTAAGGATCACAACTGAATACATAGTATTCAAAGTTCAGGATTCCAGCAGCTGATTCAAGACAGGCGTATTTCCTGCCCTGGATTCTGAATACAATACAATTGCTTGGGTATTTTGATACTGATAGGCATATTGAGGTAAAAGCCCCTCCCCACCATAGAACCTGAGACAAGAAAAACTCAATCACCAAATGATTGTCCTGAATGCTCATCTGTAGTCGTTCATTGAATTGGTCAGCCGACTTCACTGGGAGCGTGACATCCTGAGGTAATATTTTCTTCCATTCTTCTTCTTCTTCCCATCCTATCAACGAGGCTTTGGCAAAGATCAAGACCCACTCTGGCCCACCTCCCTCAAACGGTGTTCCAAGGTGAGCAGAGGAAGGCGTGTGTACTTTCTACTTTTTTACCGCAGCTCATCCTCATGTTTACTATGCTTTGTTTTGCAATCTAGACATCTTTTATATTGCTGGAATTGTGTTTGATCAGCTTCAAAAAGCACTCTGATCCTCCTCAAAACTCTGGCAGAATCCATTGGTTATGGCTTTTGATCAATCGATGCACTACACCAATCAGAACTCAAAGGAGGCAAGCATATGGCAACCAAACACCAAACCCACCATCTGGCAGTACCGGACTACGCTACTCTGAGACAATTGTCAGCCCAAAGGGATCCGGCTTGGGGGCTGGGATGAGAGTCTCAGGAAGGAAATCCATCAGAAAATCCAGACAACCCTCCAGACTGATCACCAACCTCAATCCAATCACCTCAACCACCACAGCCAGAAACATCCCTAATACAAGCACTGAAGAAATGCCCCGTCAACAAGATATCAGTCAGACATCTGAGCCTATTAGCAGTTTCAGTCCGGGTTGCGCACGTGCTCTGACAACTCCAACCCCAATCCCTGGCTTAGAACTCAATCCAGTCGTCTTTAAAATCAAAGAGGATGAAATGAATGACAAGAAGGCCAGCGGAGACACTGCTTCTGGCTCTGGTCAACACAATTTCCCCAGAAACCACTCCTCTGGTCCAATTGGCATGAGCAGGATCCAACAGAGTCTTTTGCAAAATGGTGGCCAGAATCCAAGTCAAAATCAATCCAGCAGTGGTCCCATCACGCCAACACCGCCAACCAATTCTTCTTCTACTCAAGTAGTTAGCAAACAACCTAAACCGATGCCTGCCCCCAAACGGGCTCAGATACTGTTCAAGAAGATCAAGCTTGAGGATCCCAAGCTGAAGAAACCAGTGGTTAAGAAATTGATGTTGACACAGCTGTTGACAGCCCAGTCAGCATCCTCATCCAGCAACAATCCATACAAATGTTTCTATGCATTTCTGGCGAGTAAGGAACGGAATGCACTAAAGATCTTGCTGTATTATCCGTTCTCAAAGGAGCCAAGCAAGCCAATCAAGATCTTGATGAAGGCCAATGTCTGTGTGGAAGAAGTGGTGGGATTTTCACTCTGGAACTATGTTGAAGAGAAATGTGAGCCCAAGTTGGGCGAGATTAAGAACTGTCCGGATGGCTTGGATCTTCACGAAATGTTTGCCTGGTGCTTGAGGTTGGTCGAGGATGATGGCAAGGTTGATGAAGACTTCCACGCTCTTGATTGTACTATACCTTCTGCTAAAGTTGGTAGTAATGAGTTTGCTATGGTGATGGCAACTGAAGCACAAGGTCTGCAATCCTTGGTCCTTATCCTGTTTCTTTCTTTTTTTTGCACGAGGATTAACAATTTCACCTCTTTATCACCGCTTTTTTTAGCTAAACAAAACAAAACAGCTCAAACAAAAATTCAAAGGAGACCCTCACAAGTCCTGGGAGAGCCTAAGCAAGTAACATGGTGTGGTAATTATTCCTGTGTTTCTACACCAAAAATATAACAATTTCTTCTTATTTCTTTATTCATCAAATATAGGGTAAAAATAAAATCAGAAAAGGATTCCTCAGGTAAGATAACCCCTAGTCACTCACTACAACTACCCCCATATCTCTACTAGTTCAGAAGTTACACTTATCTCAAGATGTCACAGGTGCTTTTTCTTTATTATTATTCTGACCACATCTCATTTTGAATACTGGATTCATAGTGAATATTGAGTTCCTTTTTTTCACATTGAATTCCTTTATTAGCTCATATTTCATATTGAATTCCTTTGTAGGTGCACATGCATTCCTTTGTAGCAGCACCTTGTAGGCTAGCCAAAATCCCTCAAGGCTGTGCTCTCACCAGCTAAATTCCCTCACCTGCATGTACTAGAATAGCTAAATTCCCTCATTGGATTTTCAGGCCAGCTAAATTCCCTCACCTGAGCTAAAATCCTTCACTTTTGTCTACCCAACTTTTGGGAGTTGATTAACCAAGACCCAACAATTTTTTCAATTTGCTTTCTTTCTTCGAGGAAACTTCTCCGCTGCTAGTTTTAAGTCCATTTTTTGGTAACTACGTGAGACTCATGCTTATTATTTCTTTTGCACTAATCCAGCTTGGAGTGCTTTCATCATCATGTGTTGGACTGGTTCACCGATAGTGGCTGATGTCCGGCTTCTGCGCTGAAGGCAGCTGATCGCGCGGTGCGCGGATCGTGCGCAGCTCAGTCCCCACAAGATGTGACGTGACCAGCCAGTTGTCAATCAACTGCTACCACCACCACCACCCTCTTCAAGTCACAAAACACAAACAATTCCATCTTCGATCAATGGTGAGCATTCTATATGTCATACGATCGTCGAGAACCTAAGATAGAGAAGACTGACTTGAATCGGTCAAACAGGATTCAGACCAAGATTTTCATGTCAAGACCCTGTTCTATCAAGGTAAGTTATCTTCCAAGGTGTTCAAGCCCAACGTGGCTGGTCATTAGTCGAGATTCGAAACTTAGTAGGTTTTGTATGGCCGGTGCTGATACAATAACAGGATCATATTCTGCCTCACATGATGCCATCAGTTCCATCAACGATCCATCTTTCCAACTCGTTTTATTTTCGGCGAGATGTTTGATCTGTCTCAAGAAACCCGGAGAAGCCATCAAGTTACTCAAGCAACATCATGATTCAGAACCAGCTGCTCGTGCTCTTACTCTTCTGGCTAAGTTCTATCAAGATTCACCCAGCTCAAAAGCCGAAATTGATAAGTTTGGTGAAGCGGCAGAAGCTTTGATTGAAGAGATCGCAGACGAAGAGAACGATGGTCCCGACTCGGTGCTTCGTGTGACTCTGGCGACGATCTTGACGCTCGCTGAAAATCTCTCACTGGCCATCTTCATCCTTAAACAAGGGGTCCAACTCAAGTCACTCGAAGCTGTTGCTGCTCTCATCTCTCTTTACCTCTCGCCTCGACTCCGTCGTCCCGACCTTGCTCGTAGCCTTTACACTTCTGCAAAGGCATGGGCCGATGATGCAATCCTCCTCCAAATGGCCGAAGCCTGGATTGGTGCGACCACCGGCTCTGCCGCTGGAAACAGTAATGGAAGGGAGCCCGGCGGTTATCAATCTGCGTTCTACGTGTTTGATGAAGTCACCAATACAGCCGTTACTAAGCCCAATCAAGTCAACGTCGTTGGCTTGAATGGTAAGGCCATAACACAACTTGCGATGGGACACGTTGAGGAGGCACAGGCGAATTTAACGGAAGCTCTCAAGGCGGTCAGTTAACCTCCCATTCTTGCTCAGCATTATTCATGTGCCTTTTTTTCTGAGGCTTGCCTGCCCTTTATTGCGCCTACAGGACCCAGAAAACGAAAACACATTGGCCAATTCGATTGTGATCAGTGCTCGTTTGGAATCGCCTCCCTCTGAAATAGCTACTTCAATCCAGTACGTTATGATCATTATCTGAGGCGTAAAAGCATTCGAAGCCAGCTCACACTTCTTTCCGATTTAGGAAATTGAAAACCCTCAATCCCAAGCATCCGTTGATTGTCGATCTAGATCGACAAAGCGCCCTGTTTGATGAAGCTGCCAGTCAATTCGTGGCTTCGACGGCTTGAGGTGCTGATCTTCTGTAACAATTCCGAACCTATCTTCCACAAACAAAACACATGTCCTTGAACAAACTTCTCTTTGTTCGATCCTCATGAGAGCCTGAAGATTCTTGTTAGATGCTGCCTGAAACTTTTCCAATCTTCTGTGCTGTGCTCTGCTGGAACATGACACTTCATATCAATAATGTTCATAGCTTTATTTTTCAGATGGCAGGCTTGCTGGTGTACCTGGCTGGGTGCAATGGTGTAACTGGCTGGGCACAAAGTGCCACCTCCTGCAGGGAGGGACTTGCATGCTAAAACACCTTTCTTGCATGAGCAAGAATTATGGTTTTGGTGGTGGCAAGTTATAAATTTATTTACCCCACCACTAATTCTTCATCACCCAGATTTATTTTTTGGTTCTAGTAGAAGAAAGATCTGTGAGATCTTGATTTTCTGAAATTTTTTGGGTCTTAGCTAACCAACTCCCAAAAATTGGATTTCCAACTTCCAAATCTTTGGGGTGTTGGGAGGACTGCCTGGCAACTAGGGCCAGGACATCCTGCCCCCCTATTTTTTTTCCCTCTGAAAGCTTGGGAGTTGGAGCTCCAAAACCCTCATTGGGGTTGGGAGTTGGACCCCAAGCCAAATTCAATAAAAAAAACTTGAATCCCCTGTTTATTTGGGAGTTTCAACCAGGAGGAATCCCTTCCCATTGATGAGGTATAACAATCTCATCAACTGGAAGGAATCCCTTCTGCTTGACGGGGATAACAACCCTATCAACCAGAAGGGATTCCCTCCAGTTGATGGGGTTGTTATCCCCTGTTTTCCAGAAGGATTTCCTTCAAGTTCCAGTCAAGTGGGAGGGACTTCCAACCCCCCCCCCCCAATGCCAAGGGGTGGTTTGGGAGGCCAGCTCCCAGAAAATAAAAAACAAATATCAATATAAATGGATGGCTGACTCCCAAAGTCAGCCATCCATTTGGAGGAACGACTCCCAACAGACGTCTGTTGACGGCATTTGGGAGTTGTTGACAAATCCAAGGGAGTTGTTTTTCCAAGGCCCTATTTTTCATGTATTTTCAAAAATTTAAATTTATTTCTAGAGATTGTCACTCCGCATCCGGATATCCGGCTGCTTTTTCCGGCAAAATGGCCATTTGCACCCGCTGGCGGGTATCTGTCGGCCGCAGCAGGTATCTGAGCAGGTATCCATGGATACCCGCTGTAAGACTCAAAAAGTGGTTGTAAGACCCTTTTTGCTGAATGGAGAAGGGGATGGTGGAGGTGCAAGCTCTGCCCTTCTATGCTATCAGATAACAAGACCCACCAAGCTCAGCTTGGCAAGTTTAATCAAGTGATAGGGTAAGTTCAGGAATGAGTTTGTGTGATGACAAGATTGAGTTTAGGTGTTATTGGTGTTTGTAGGGTTCTGTAAAGGTGGTATGCCTTTTATTGAGTGGTACTAAACTGTGACTCATGAATAATACCCTGGGGAGACAACAACTGGGAGGAGAGCCCCCTTATACAGAAAATAGTGAAGGAATTTAGCTCCAGTGCAGCCATTAATGAGTGATTTTGGCTGACCTGGGCTATTACATGAGTTTTTTTAGCTACATACAAAATTTGAATGAGTGAATGTGATTGGTCAGATATGTACAAGAGTTGAAGTGGTGAGCCAAACAGCTGAAAGAGTGATTCTGATTGGTCAGGTTATGTGGTGTTTACAAGTAAATGTGGTGGTACCACCTGCAGCTGTCATGCAAGTAAAAAACACTAATTTAGACTGCATGCATGAGATATGTAATATGTAGAAGTGAAATGTAAGGAGTGTAGATGTATGTAAATGGGAGGTTGTACTGTACTGAGGGTGTCTGTGTAGCTTGAGGTTTGTAATTGAGATTGGTGACATGTAATGATGGATGAAATCCTTGTGATATGTTGTCCACTGTTGGGTAGTTGTTGATCCAAGTGTGTTCCAGTGACGCCTCCGTGGTGACCAAGGGTGAATTTATCCGTAGAGTCCAGTTCTTGAGCCGTATGGTGTGATTTCTGATGGATACAGGATGATAATATGAAGAAAATATATATATAGGGTCTTAGTCAAACGACTCCCAAATATTGGAGTTCCGACTCCCAAATATTTGGGACGTCGCTAAGACCCCCTGCGGACGGTCCGCAGGCCGTCCACCCCCGGAGATGGGAGTCAGACCTCCCAAACCTTCAACAGGTTTGGGAGTCGATCATCCCAAGAAAAAATAAAAATAAAAA